GTACATCGTTAATAGATAGAATGTCTTTATCATTTGTTGTCGATATCTATTCTCTTAAATATTCTTGAGACTTGATTTTTTAAGCATAACTCGAAAAATTATGAGCCACAGATACAACAAATTTGGTATGTAGGATTTTTTTAGTATACACAGATAAAACCTATTTCATAAAGATAGATCCTTGCGCTTTCAGTCCATACTATATTACTCTTACTTGATGCTACTGCAACTGTCTATAAGACTGCTCCTGTCGTCTATTTTTAAGCCAGACTGTCTTATTAACATTAACCACTGCTTAGCACTACATAAAAACGAAGAATTTTCCGAAACAGCAGCTTAATCGGCGAACGAAATAATAGTTAAATATTTTATAGAAAACCACTGCAAGGACTCTGTGTATTCATTCGAATATAATGCGACAGCTAATTTTGCTGAGATACTTATTTTTCATTGTGACATACCAACTACCAAGTGCAACCCTTTGGCGAACAAATCAATTTACAAAACTCAGTCCAAATACAGATGCATGCCAGGAGGAGAAGGACACGCTTCTGTCCAGTGCCAAGTGCAAGACCAGACCAGATCCAAATCGAATAGTTATCGATACGAGCAGAGCTCGCCAAATTGATAGTCGTGTGTCGTGCGCAAATGCCGAGCGTGTCTCATTAAATGACAATTAGAGTTGAGCTTGGAACTTGAAGCCGGACAGCGCTCCGAGCCCAGCCCAGCCCCAGCCCCAGTCCCGGCCAGGCCCGAAGAGGCGAGTGGCAAGTAGCTGGCAGCAGCGTGGAATGCGCGGCCAGTGGCATGCAATTTATATAAAAATAATGCAGCATTGTATTGTGTTTTGTTTGCTTTTGTTTTTATTTTTATTTTATTGTATTTTTATATAGTTTTTCTTTTTTTTTGTTGTTGTTGTTGTTTTGGATTTCTCGGGCCGCTGGCCTCGACTGGAGCCTGCAACAAACGCAATTATATAGAAATTTGTCTTGCTGTGATATGTGCGGCATGTTGCAGTTGCAGCAGTTGTGTGGCCATCGGCAGCGCCAAAAATAGTCAATTTGGGAAAGGCTAATAATAAATGCGATCCGTCGTCTGTCAGTCACAGAGGCGAGTCAGTTCGTCAGGCCAGCAAATGAGTACTCGCCGGTATGAGTACTCGGATCGAGTATATATATATATATATATGAATGAATGCTGCAACCAAATTGGCCAACTGACATTCACAGCCAAGGTGGCATTTTGTTGTTTTTGGAGCCAAAGTGAATGCGATTCAATTCAATTCGCTGGTGTCGTGTGACCTACACCAAGCCAATGATTGACGGATGGCACATTTGCGGATTGATTAGTTGTTTTTACCAAAATGGCCACTTCGATATGCCACACGATGGCGACGGCGATGGCGACAACAGTTGCTTGCAGCCTGTTCCATGTTTGCCAGCTGCCTGTTGACAGTCAGCACCCGCTTAACTTCAACTTCAGCTCCAAACTTCAATTTCAGTTTGTTGTTGCTGCTGCCCCCTTCAGCATTTTGGGCAATAAACATTTGCATTTGCATGTTGCTGTTGTTGTCGTTGTTATTGTTGCTGCCGCTGCTGTTGCTGTTGTTGCTGCTACCGTTGATGGCGTGTGCATCTACCGACACTGATAGGAGCCGCCGCAAAACAAAGGAATAGCCAAATGTGTGTGCGCCCAGTTGCGGGCTCCATTGATGCTGGCGCTTTCAATGAAAACATAAAAATAAAAATGCAAATTAAGCCCCACAACGAAAGCACTTAAATCTAACGCACAATTCCACGAGTCCAAAACCACGGCAGTCAACCACCACAGTGAAGCAAAAACAATCGGAATGAATCAAGGATTAAAAGCGACTTTGTACATTAGAAGAGGGGAATCACGCAGAACTGGACACTTTTAATGTTGTTTTATAAAGTGATCTTTGCTCGTATAATTATTAAATAATACCACAAACAAAGACAAAAATCTTGGCTTTTCCTTTATTTACGACAAAAAGTTGTTTTATAAGACCAAAACGCCAGGTCGGAAATTGGGCAGAAATTGTAGTACGTTAGTCGTTCATCGATTGTTTTTAATATGCCCTCTCAAAGACCGCATATATTTAACAAAAAATCCCTAGTTATGTTTCCCGTTTTAAGAACTGTCAGTTCTAAGATTTTTATGCAAAGTATAACGATAACATTTTGGAAAATTCATTGGAGAAAACCCGGATTACTATGGTGCGAAAGATACCGCTAATAATTAAGTTGTACAAAATATTCCATACAAACTTTTGTTTGTTACAGTAAACGTTGATTATAAAATAAATAGCAACCCTCAAAATAAGTTTCAACGAGGGATTTTTAATATTTAGAATCTGTTCAGCTACTGAAAGATTTTCACATCTGATATTTGAGAATTTGAAGGACCACTGTGTGTGGGTAGGCGGAATCACAACCCAAACCAATCCAAACCCAAACGAAACGAGCCAAGTGAAGCCGCGCGAAGAGTTCAACAGGAAACGTTAAGCAAATGTTATGGCCAGGCCAGGCCAAGCCGCCGGGCTGACTCGGGCTGGTCAAAATGGGGCGGCTGGCAAACAAAGCCAAAGTCAGAGCCAGTTGACACGAAACAGCAGCAACAACAACAACAGCAACAACTACAGCGACAACAACAAGAACAACAACAACAACAATCAGTAGACAGAGACAACACTGCGTAGAGAGACATTGTCAGAGTCGGAGTTTGGTTGGTTTGGTTGTGGGTTTCGTTCGGTCGCATCCGGGCCAACAACATGCACTTTAAAGCGTTTATATCCGCAAGCCTCGGCGGCTTTCTGTTTTTGGTCAAATCACAGTTTGCGGTTACACGGATTCACGCGCAAAGAAAGCGGGCAGCAGGAAGTGCTCCAATAGCTCCAAAGATGCCAACAAGAAAGTGCACATCGTGAGCGGCACAAAACCGACAAAACATTTATTAGGCCAACTTGAAGAGCTGGACTTAAGTCTTAAGTTTTAAGTCTTAAGTCTTGTTGCAGTTATGATGAGAATTAGCATCTATTTAAATGTCTGGCGCGCATTAAGATGCCACGATTGGGCCGCTGCGGCTGCGGTTGCGGCTGCGGCTGCCGCGAAGAGCAACGAGCTCTGGCTCTGGCTTATTGTTCTCAGCCAGCAATTATTTGGCCAAATTGTATGGGGCTCGATAGGCAACCTGCAGAGACGCTGCGACTAGGAGAACCAGGCCTAATTATGCGTGCGCCAAGACAACAGAACAAGCCAGCGACAACGACAACGACAACAACAACGACAACGACAACTTATCGGCTAGAAAAGCTAGAAGAGGGGCGACACATCAGAGAGGCGCAGGGAAGAGGGCTAAGCGCAGTCAGATGAAACGCCACCGATTAGCCCTGGCGTTTGGCCAGGCGCCCGCTTTCCGCAAATTTATGATGGGCACTAACAACGGGCCCAGAAGCCAAATCCAGCCGAAACGAAACGAAATGAAATGAACTTGGCCGCAAACAAACAGTTGAATGGGCATTGCAATTATACCAGGCATCGAGTATCGAGTATCTGTTTTGCATTTAAACGAGTTGCTAACCACAAAACTGGCAGCTCATGTGGGTGCATTTCGCTGGTTAACCGCCAAAGCGGCGTAACTAGCCATTACAATCTGTACACTGTACAGTGTGTACTCTGACAGCGATTAGAACTGGCGACTGTTCAGTTTTGCGAATCAGTTGAATCTACATAAAGACTTTGTGCCAGGGATTGTCTGCTGGCTACAATGGGTTATACACAGATGATAACTAAAAAGAAGGAGCAGATGAATTTGTAAGGTAGGAGTTATCAATCAATGATAAAACAAATGAATGTATATAAAACATAATTAAACAGAAATTACTTCGAATTGCGCATCAGTTGGTGGGAATACGCTAACTAGACAAAAATGATACCAATCCATTTCCTATTCATAAATATTTGTATGAAATTCAGTATAAATAACAACATGCATGAAAATTAAATTCAATTCATAAGGAGCTTAAACCGAATCGAACAGTTTGAATTGAGTACTGTAGTCAGGCTGATATATTTAGGTTAATATAATAAACTCTTACAATTAAGTCTATAATCTCCAAATGACATGTTTTAGTCTGAATTAATGTGAAATAGACATTAATCAGAGTCTTGGTATTTTTTTGGGAAAACCGTTCTACCCACTAAAGATGACTAACTCCATTAAAAACCCACTTAAACGAAAATAATTAAAATTTTTATGAGCTAACTGCTTTAATAGCAACTATCATATTTGAAGACAACTTAACTAAAGCGCTGCCATTTTTGCAATTATTTAAATTGGCTTCATTTAATATATGTGACAGACATATATTTATATGTGATCAAAATTTTATGTATATAGCTATCTTTATTTAATTATAATTCTTTATTCATATTGCAAAAGGGTCAAGCTTTAAATTTAACTAAAGTGAATTTAAAATTGCATTTTAATATTGTCCGTTTAGATTCATAACAGATATGATAAATAAATATTAATTTAATTACTTATTTATTTCGCGTAGTTTCCAATTTAATACAATTAAATATTAAATTCATTTGAAAATTGCGCTGTCAGCTTGATTTATGTGCTAAATGAACTGTAAATTTGAGCTTTCTCAATATATATAAATTCAGTTATTTAAAAATGCAAAAATCAGCTCGATTGAACCGCTGATTTAAAATAATTATTGTGATGCAGCTTTGTTGAAAGAATGTATGTTAGCTTAAGCTAAAAACATTTTTCTAGGACAAAACTTATACATGTTAATTAGTTAAAACGCCTTCAGAAAAGTGTGTTGACATTTTACCAAGAACAAAAAACTAAGCAACACATTTAAAATCATTCAATTTGATATATAAAAAAGCACGGCAAGCAAAGTTGATCTAATCTTGTTGTCTAACATGAAAATATTTCATAAAATCGTGATTATTTTCGAGCTACTGAACACGCTGCAAATGTAGTTTAAAAACAGCTTCATTAAAAACTTTAGAGAGGCCAACTTATGATTTTTAAGCAAACAAAAACAATATCAAAATCAATTTCTAAGCTCGACTTCTCTGCTCATTAGGCAAGTCCAGCAGCGCTTTTTAACAGATTTCATCAAATTGTGTCATTCGACAAAAATGAGCAAAAAAATAAAATAAATAAAGACTGAAAATCGCGTCTCGTGCTCACGCCCACAAAATCAAAGCTGATTTCATATTTTGTGCACGGCAAAATTTCACAAAAAATAAAGAAAAACTGGTTACACCCAGCTCAAATAAAAATCTGTATATATTTACAGACGTGATCTTATAACAAATTCGTGTAAATTAAATGCTCATATGCAACAACAAAGACAACAAACTCGCAAGAAACTCATAAATTGGCGCTCATTTGTTTGCTCATTTGTCGCGTCAGCCCCCAAACGGCCAATGTACATAAGGCCCGGCCCAAAATGGACATGTAAGCAAGTCAAAAGCGAGTCTATAAAATCTAATACGCACACAACAGCGGCCACAAGTCACGCCCACAGCTGTGGCTATATACTATATAAGCTATAAGCGCTGAAGTGCCTAATAACAACTCAGTTTAAGAGCGCAAGTAAAGAGCGCGGCTTGAAACTTGCTAGAGAGAGAGAGAGAGAGAGAGAGCGCTCGCGCGCACACCACATGCGCCATTGCACTCCCACACAGGCAGCCAAGTCGACGATCGTGCTCTTAAAAATTGTGCAGAACCCACTTGGAACGAGTTTTCTCAGAGAGATCGAAACGCGGACGGACTCAAGAGTCGCATCGGCTCGGATTGCGTTTTCAGTCTGTGAGCAGCTGCGTGAGCCGCACGACGATCAACGAATCAGCGAACGATCGTGCTGATCGTGCCTGAAGTTAAGTGCACGCCATGGAGAAAGACGTTAAAAGTGGCCGATCAAAATGTACGGCAAGTGTGTGACAGACCGAATGATAAAGTTGCAGTGTAAAAATAATAAATCTCTAAGACTTAAGCCCAATGATGATCAAAGATCAGTGTTAACTAAAGGTGAGTTCTATTATAAAAACTTTAAATAAAGGCTATACTTATGAGCTAATTAGATATTAACTATATTTAAAAGCAAATTTATATTGCCTTGATTAAGGCGAACAATTGAAGTTTTAAAATTTTGTAATCAGTATATTTCTATTAAACAATTGATAAAATGTTGTTTACGCAAAAACCTTATAAGAATGTCTTCCTTTAACGCAAGTATCGATCGCATAAACAACACGATCAGTTTTATCTTGTGATTGATTATGTGTTTTACAAGAAACTTCTAGTTATCTTTCTATTTAAACAGCCAGAACAGTTTTCACTTAAGAGTCTATTGCTTATATTAGGCATATGGTTAAGATTGATTCGTATTAAAGCCTGAGGATCAATTGGTTTAATTTAATATATTAATACATAATTGATCAAAAATTGTTAAGTGTCTATTGCTTATAATAAACATTTCCTAAAGATTGATTCGTTTTAAAGCTTGCTGAAGAATGAAAAACTTTTTATTATAAAACAGTTTTTTTATAGAGTTAAATTCTGTATGAAAACTTCTTTGATTTGAAGTATTGAATTGTGTTGGCAATGTATTATTCAGTTAAGGAAAATTAGGCCTAATCTTACGATTGGTCTGTCAAGTTGTAAACCGAAATTTATTTATTGTATTGTAGAGACCAAGTATAAGGTTTAGATCAAATAGAACTCTTACTTTCAATTAATATATGATAAATATATGTGTATATATTACTTTCATGTGCAATATCTCCAGAAGATTTGAACTAGGCATACAATTGGCACATCTAAGTATAGTTTTGCCATATCATAGCAATTTATATATAAAATAGTATTATTTTATATAATCTGTTGCGTTTTAGTACAACAACAGGCTGCTAACTAGCTCAGGGTCCCTGCAAACAGTAGCCCAGCACGCGGACAACTCAATCAAAGAGTTGCAATCACACACAATCACCACAGCAGCAGCAGCAGTAAGCAGCAGCAGCAGCAGCAGCAGCAGTAAGCAGCAGTAAGCAGCAGTTAGCAGCAGCAGTCAGCAGTTGGTCTCAGATCTGGCTAGCTGGAGTGCAGTGGGGGATTTGGCCTTTGGTTGGCCGCCAAGTCGGCGTCCACATTTCATAAATCAGCATGTGCAGTGTGAGGGAGGGGGGAGATCTGTGCGTTTGCCGTTTCGCTATGAAACCGCCTGCTGCGAATCCTGGCTATTTATTGTATTTTAACAACATTATAAACGAGCGTTTAAGTGGCGAGTGGCGAGTGTCGAGTGGGGCCGCATTTGATTTGTGTTAGAATGCAAAATACACCGAGACTCCAAACGGGCCAAAGACAATGCCAGGCTGGCTGCCAGAGGGGGGGCAGACAGACAGACCGACAAAGCAGCCAATACAAACAAACAAACAAACAAACAGACAGACAGAGAGACAAACAAGCAGAAAGCCGTTTCATAATCAGCCTAAAAGACGTGGCAACATGTGGCCAAACGTTGTCGTTTGGGCCGGGTCAAATGTCAAGCACATTATTTTTGTGTTTACGTATAATAAATATAAATGCATGATGCATTTTTGATAGATTTTCATGCCAATAAACAAGCTGGCTTTAACCGCTAGAATGGTGTTTTGGCCAACACTTGGCCAGATCAAACCTGGCCAGACCAGACCAGACCAGACCAGACCCGAGCAGACCCGAGTCAGCCTCTCAGCCATTGTGTGGGTACATAAATTCAGAAAAGACATAGCACGGCAACGGGACACCAGGAAGCCTGCGTTTTTTTCATCATTTTGGCTTTTTTTTTTATCGATCCGGCTCTTATAGTCGTAATTTTGTGTCTATGCAAATGTACGCGTTGTGTTCGCTTTGCATTTTTCGGGCTGATGTTGAAAAATCGACGATCAACTCTGTCAGTCCTCCAGTCTGTCAGTCCGTCAGTCAGTCAGACAGTCAGTCAGTCAGTCTGCCAGTCTGCCCGTCTGTCCTGTCAGCCTACTGAGCTGGCGGACCAACCACGTTGATGTGGCCAAACAATGCCTTGTTGACACTGATGGAAAATCTGCGTGTCACAAATATCAAAATTCAATCGTTAAACTATGAGAGCCTATGATCGATTCCTCTGATCCGGCAACTCCAGCTGCTGCCCAGACCAGCCCAGGCAAGACTTTGACATTCAAATTGTCTCGCAGCCAGTTTACCGGCACAGCTCAGAGTTATAGATCTGAACACCGATATGCTAATCCCGACGACTGCAAATGCTGATGCACAGTACGCAGTTGATCTGCAACTGATCTTGGGTGAAAGAGGAAAGTTGCGTCTGCAACGACATGCATTGATGGGCAGAGCATAGTTGATGATGATAATCAGCCTTTAATCAGTAAGAAAGTGTAGTTAAAATATTCACTTTCTGCTATCGATCAGCATGCGAATATCCGATCTTCAGCCACTTTTGATTTGAAGTGAACAAAAAATAATTGTGTTTCTCTCTTTTTCTGATCTTCAGTTATTGCCAGTAAATGTTAAATAAGCAACAAAAAATAAGTTCCTCTCTATTTAAATAAATGCAAGACTTCCTGATCTTCAATTGTTGCCAAGTCCTCGATCAGTACGCGTGTGCCCAAATTTTCTTTAACCAAAATGAAAAACAAATAACATTTTTCTTTCTGTAAAAATAAAAGCAAGATCAGTACCTGAATTTCTGATTCTCACCAAATTTCTAATAATCACAGTAAACAGCAAAAAATACTTTTCTCAATTGGTTAAATGAAACAGAAATAAAATAATTTGGCAATAGTAGCATAGTAAAGTTTATTTAAATAAATAATCATTGAATGGTTATTTTTCGAATGTTTTTCAACGATGGAGAGGCGGACATTAAATTTTTACAAAACGAAAGCAAATTAAGAGATTATCATCTGCTTTAAGAAGCACTTGCTAAATTGCGACATAATCTTGAATTGATCATGTAATTAAAGCAAGCACAAGTTAATTTAATAATGCAAACAAAATTCAAATAAATGAAACACATTCGAATGAAACTTAAAGTTTATGAACTGACTTAACGTCATGACTTAAAATGGCATGGAACATGATACAGAGATCGTTTGTTATAATGTTAAGACTTGCTGAGAAGTCAGTGATCGGAGAGCAAAACGAAATTGAATAAATTAACAGCATGATGAAAATAGACTATAAAATGATTGATTAATTGAAAAATGCCTTAAAAGGTGTGTAGAATTATTTCTAGAGTTGAAAAACTAATGCCAACCATGATGCAACAGATTTCCTTGAAGACAGTCAATAAAGGAGCATAAGAATAGATATTTCGATGCTGGGGATATGAGGAATCTAAAGCCCAAAACCTGTCATCAAATTAGAAGACACCTTTGCCTAATTGAAAACCAATTTAATGCATATAAACAATAACAAATGCAAGGCAAACAAGCGCAAATCTGCAAAGCAACATAAAAGAAAGAAAAAACAGAAATAATATAATACATATCATATAGAAAAAGGCCGAGAGTGAGCGAAAAAAAAACCAAGAAGCCAACTAAATTACTTAACAAGCCGTTGAGGCTGCGGCTGGAAGATGTCGACGACGACGACGACGACGACGTCGTCTGGGATGATTTACTTGTGCGTAATAATGCAACGCCCGCAACGCTGGAACGGCAAAGACAAGCAGAGGAATGGCCACAGTCCAGAGCAGAGATGAGACCTGGCCAGGCCGGGGAGTCCACAGAGCCTGGTCTGAAGGATGGGCCTACGCAGCGCGCACGGTAAATGCATGTGAGAAGAAGTCTAACTGGGAATGCGCCTCAATTTAAAATGCGAATTACATTATCTGATCAAATGCATTCTTTGGTGCGCTCCAGGAGGACGACTCTGCCTCTGCACACTCATACTCATTGAGTGTGTATTTCTGTGTTCTCTCTGTGCGTGTGTGTGTGTGCGCGCGCGTGTGTGTGTGTGTGGATGCTGCACAAATAAATAAATTTTAAAATACAAACAAGTAGCGCGCACAAAAAGCGCCGAGTGGAAAATTCGTGACAGCAATTGTTGATGAGCAGCGTGTGAACAGAGCAGACCGAACGGCCCCGGTACGTATCGATATTGTAGCATAGGCCCCGGGACCAGAAGGCTCCATACAACACAGCAAGAACTCAAGATCACAGCAACAACAGTAACAACAACAACAATATGAATGTTTGCACAGCAGCAAAACGCGTAATATTGAGCGACTAATAGCTGAAACTTGACTTGAAAGCGAACGAAATGGCCAGCGACTCGACGGAGACACATTCGGAGACCCCGGACCCAAGAGACTGGGGCCGTACACCTCCGCAGTCTAATTAACTCCTACACACACACACACACACTCGAGTTTTAATTAAGGCGCACATGCTTATGTTTAAATACCTATATATACATACTATATATATATATATATATATATATACACTCTATATTATATACAAGAATCAGATGTGTATCAAGCCAGAATAACAACCGCGAAACAATCAAGTTGACGAACTGAGAGTGGGCAGCTTCCAGCGCTAAATGCGCAGCTTGCTGCTAAATACAACAGCAACTAACAAGTTTTGAAAAGTTTAAACCGATCTTGACTACCCTACTACTACTATTTGACTAGTACTATCAGCTAGGCAGTAACTGAAACTCTTTATCTTTGGATACATTGTCGAAGTCGACATTACATGACACATATTAAATACCAGATTTATTGGTTAATGAAAGTATAAAATAACGTAGTTTATATATAATCATATCAAAGCATAGACAAAGGTTAAGTTAACTCGAATTGTTGTTTTTGGGCTGATCTAATAAACATGTCAGGTACAATAAGGATAATGAGTTATGTAACGGCTTATATAAGGAATTGTATTTTGGTTTATTCTCTGAGATTTACGACATATGGTTCCCCTGGGAGCTATACGATACGATAGTCTAAACTATAGTTTATATAAGATGTCGCCAAGGTTTTGGCA